TATATATATATATATATATATATATATATATATATATATATATATATATATATATATATATATATATATATATATATATATATATATATATATATATATATATATATATATATATATATATATATATATATATATATATATATATATGTATACATATATATATATATATATATATATATATATATATATATATATATATATATATATATATATATATATATACATTTATATATACATATATACATATATATATATATATATATATATATATATATATATATATACATATATATATATATACATATATATATATATATATATATATATATATATATATATATATATATATATATATATATATATATATATATATATATATATATATATATATATATATATATATATATATATATATATATATATATATATACACACACATATATATATATATATACACACACATATATATATATATATACACACACATATATATATATATATATAGACATATATATATATATATATACATATATATATATATATATATATATATATATGTATATATATATATATATATATATATATATATATATATATATATATATATATATATATATATATATATATATATATATATATATATATGTGTGTGTGTGTGTGTGTGTGTGTGTGTGTGTGTGTGTGTGTGTGTGTGTGTGTGTGTGTGTGTGTGTGTGTGTGTGTGTGTGTGTGTGTGTGTGAATGTTTATGTAGATTGACATATACCTTGTTGAATTCATTTTTTATATATATATATATATATATATATATATATATATATATATATATATATATATATATATATATATATATATATATATATATATATATATATATATATATATATATATATATATATATATATATATATATATATATATATATATATATATATATATATATATATATATATATATATATATATATATATATATATATATATATATATATATATATATATATATATATATATATATATATATATATATATATATATATATATATATATACATATATGTGTGTGTGTGTGTGTGTGTGTGTGTGTGTTTATGTAGATTAACATATACCTTGTTGAATTCATTTTATATATGCTTGGTGTTTTATGATTATGTAGATACGTTATGGATACATTGCGATATATGGTGTAGTTAAGGTGAGTTGCGGTGAGAATACGAAAGATGCATATTGGATGTTATATGTGTATGTTTATGTGGATTGATATGAATTATGATGAAAGGCATGATTGAATATGCTAAATGATATATGTATATGTGTAGATAACTTATATGTTGATGTTTATGTGAATCGGTGTTGAAATAAACATATTGTGTGCGTTGCTTGATAAATGTTGTAATGCATGTTGTTTTATGCAATTGTAAGTGAAGAGTGCATGAAAATATGTTATGAACCTATGTGCATTGCTTAGTAAAATGTGATGATGATGTTGAAAATAATGAATGCGTGTAAGGCTCGTGAACACTAGGGTAGAATGACATGATGTCGTTCCTAGTGGGGCAATCACCGGGGTAGAACAACTGGGGTGTTGTTCCGGGTGAGGTATAATGATATAGTCGCATACGCTGGGGTAGAATGACAAGATGTCGTTTCTAGTGGAGTGATCACCGGGGTAGAATGACTATGTGTTATTCCTGGTGGGGTATAAGTGGTGTACCCATAATCCCGAACGGGAATTGGTGGAATTGATGGGCTTTATGTGAGCCATATGACATGGATACGATTGTTGATTAAAGTTGTGCCTACGTGTATGTACATGACTTGTATAATTGGAAATGATGAATATGTGATTGTTAGGAGGAGTGTACGTATATACATGATATGTTGATTTAAGAATGGTGAATATATGAATGTTATATGAAAGTATGCTATGTGTATGACCATAGTGTTTTGTAAAAGTTGTGAACATGTAATTGATGTATACGAAGGTGATTAGGTATATGAAAATATGGAATAATAAGAACTATGGATATGTTCATGATAATATGTCTGATGATTAACCATGATAGTTTATATGAATATGTAAATTGAGGAGTATGTGTGAAGTGTTTATGGGATGTGGTGAGAAATGTGGCATATATGTATTTATGATTGTTTTTATACATAATTATATGCATTGATTATTATGATAATATTTCTCACCCTTCTGCTGGAATGATGTCCTACATGACATCGTGCATGTATCAAGGAGTAGTATTGCTTGTAGTTTCGAGTTCGCCATTGGTGCAACTGTTTAGTAATTTAATTATGTTGGGTCGAGTCATGCTCTGGTCATGTAACACTGGGATCGCTTGGGTTATGTTTCAAATGTGCATTATGTATTCTATATCATGTGTTTTATTCCTCGGAATGTTATGATGTTGGCCTTAGTGCCTAAATGATGTTGGTTTACGTGATGAAACAAAATGCTTCTGTTAAGGGTATTATGTTATAAAATGAATTCGCTACTATATTCAAAGTGAAGTTTTGTAAAGAATGATTTTATATTGAAATGTTAATGAGCATGGTAGGTGATTTTGATGTTTTGGAAGTTATGTGTGACGCCCTTTTGTGGATGCATGTAAAATTTACTCTGATTATGCATATATTCTCCGTGGGGTTTAGAAGGGTGTTACACTTCCGACTGAATAAATCTAAGTGTAGTGTGGTTAAGTGGTCAGAAGTTGTTTCGGATCCATTGCTACCATTAAAAGAATGGGGAGGAGAACTTGAATCTAGCTAGGGTGTCGGGCAATAACAATGAGAGGAAAGCGCTACGAGGACCCTCATTAAGAGAGATAGAAATCTAACCCTTAGATTAGGGAATAGGAGACTAACAGTAAGGGTATTACGCTTCAAGAGAAGTGGAACTCACTCGAATAGAGAGAGTCTAGGCTAGTATAGCAAAGAGGCTTTCAATTCCCGCCAAGTGGGAATTTCCGTGAGCATTAAACTCCTGTATGGTCTTTACCGCTTGGGAACCTCAAAGCTGCTCTATGGCTCGCTGGAGTTAAATCAAGCTATTGATCATATTCAGCCTTCTTCGGCTGATGAAAGTACTAACTTCCCTTTAGAATGAGATTTCAGTTTTCAGTTCAATTGTCATATATTCATCCCCTGAATTGAAAGGCATTTTGTATCTTTATGAAGTTAACTAAATCGATTAGGTCATACTACTGGTCGGGTACTTAAACTTAAGATAAGAATCGGCTATGTCGCTTCTAGCTTGCCTACCCGCAAACCCTGCCCTTAGGACTAGGTTGGAAACTCCCAAGAGGATGGGGCTTGCTCACTCGCTTTCAAGACGGAAGAATTCAAGTTTTTTCCTTCGGTGAGATTTTAGCTTTACTACATCTGGGACTTTATTTCATTAGAGAGCTAGCGGCTCCTGTGAAGGTTGGTAGTTCCCCATCTATCAGCCATAGATCTGGCTGTTTTTCTCCCGCACCCTTATCGGGATTAAGGAAAGCCGGTTTCCATCCTTTGTCAGGACCCGAAAACCTAGTTACCAACCTCTCTTGCATTTTACTTTTTTGGATTCGTTTTCTATACTATATTTTTTTCAATGTTCTAAATCATTAGCATCAGCTATGAGTGCATCTGCTAGGTTCCCATTCCTGCTCAACAACTTGAGAGATTAAGTTCATTTGCGGACCAGTAACAGCCCCTAACTGTTAGCAACTATGGAGCTAATGAACCTTTTCCTTTCTTTCTTATCTTTTTATCCCTGCCTGTATCCTATCCTTAGAGCTCCCCTTTGCGTTGATTATAGGCCTTATCTTTTCCCTTTGGGAGAGGTAAGGTATAGAGCTTGAATCCCCCAACTGACATCTTATTCTCCATTGGGCATCCTCATGGCATCTACTTCTTTAAATAAAAGAGAAAAAGCTTTTGCCGCTCTTTCCTTGGCCTTCTTTCGCGTATGCGTGCTCGTCTATCCTTTAATAGAAAGAAGCAATTTCTCTGTTCGAAATCAAGCTACACGCCATCAAAGATGGCAGTAGAACAACTAGCAAGAGGTGCCCAGGTACTGTTAACAAGCTCATGAATTTAAGTTTCAAGCGAACCCCATGCCTTATGGTTTAAGAGCCCGTTTGATTATAAGCCTTTAGAATGGTTATATATACTTTAGAAAAGGGCTATCTCTCTCTGGCTTTCCTTTCTTGCTTGCTTTCTAGCCCCGATGCCAATGCCCTTTCTGTTCTCGAGTCTTTGCAATCTTCTGCCATTCCTAGACTTTGAAATGGTTAGACCACTGTCTTCGAGTCCGGTTGAGAAATAGCGGATTTGAGTACCGGGAAGTAAGTATGAGTAAGGTTCGGGTCTGGTTGAGTAACTCAGGATAGAGAGAGTCCTTCATTTCTAAAGTATGAATAAATAGTAGACATGTAGCTGCCTTTTAGGTATTGAATCCCTGGCCAGGAAGCGTGAACAATAACATGAGTCTTTAAGGACAGAGTGACCCCGTGGGTTGTCCATTCTTTCGGGTATTCACTCAAAAATCATTGAATAAGGCTATTCGACTTAGGACTCCCTTACTAAGCTTTCAGGAAAGTCTGTGATCTCATTGTCTTCCTAAAGCCTTTTTAATCCTAAATGAACAGATATAAGATAGATGTAGAGACTCATCCTTGATTCCTATCGGTCAGGGACCTTGAAGAACCCTCCACGAATTATCGATAGTAGTTTACTAATCCAAGGAAGAAGTGATGCGAATAATTGCTTTCTTTCGTACCCATTCACAAGAAAGAAGGGTCTCAAGTAGTGTGTTCATGGTCACTCAAAATATAGGATTTTCGACATTAAAGAGCGCGTGGGACAGGTGAGGGAAGGAAGGGCGGGATGAAGCAAGCAGCCAATCCCTTGCAGGTTAAAAATAGCAGCATTAGTATTAAAATTATAAACACCATGGGGTGGGGCTTGCCAATAGGTGTTTGCACAATTTGTAGCTTCTCCTTCTTATACTATTAGAAGAAGCTGATTGCTTTGTTCACCATATCCACAAGATAGTTCTGTATGTCCTGGAACAGCAGCAAATTTCTATCACTCCATAAAGCCCATGCAACTACTAGCATCAGTTCCAGCTGCTCTTCATCAAGACACTTCCCCATCTCCTTCACCCAATCTGAGAGAGAGCCTGCATCTGTTGAGTATGAAGGGCTAATGGGCAGAGTAGCCAAATGCCAGATGCCCAGGGGCAGCCCTTTAAAACATGAATGGTAGATTCAGGCTCCATTCCACATCTGTCACAAAGCAGGTCAACCTCCACCTTTCTATTCCCATTTCACTCATCTTGCATAAAAAAAACCCACCTAAATCCATATCTAAAAGGGAGCCCGCGATAAAAATGCCTCCTCTATGAGATCTCGGTGCTACTGCCCAGCCCCACCTTCATTTTTTTCGAATTACGACTACTAGACTTTTTTTCCTAAGCAAAGATCTAGGGGGAGGAGCTCTTCTTGCATAGTATACCTTTTCCCATAAATTCCAAGCTCGTATTAATAACCAGTATAACCCCGGACCTTTTGAGCAAGCGCTATGGAGATAACGAATGCTAGCGTTAGCCCAGCCATCCACATTGCAAGAGCTCTGGGTGTTCTTTCCATTGAAGCTTCACTGGCCACCTCCCTGGCTTGCTCACTGAGGTGGTCTACTAGCTACATGACTTCTGCGGAATAACTTGTCGGTTCCCCGATTTGCGTTGCCTCCGCCAGCTGCTGTAACTCAGGGATGCTTGGGGGTCTCTGTACTAGACAGTCCCACCATATCGCGCACCCAAGATATAGCGCCTGTAAGATTAAGCTGAGAACTTCCGTGACGTGCTGCCCTTGCCCTGACCCCGCCTATGAGTGCTCTGTTGCCCCGGGTGTACCTGTAGCTCTCTGGTCTTGACCCACGCACGACCTAGGAGCTTTTTATCTCGTAATGCCCCGTAGGCCTCTCTCGGATGACCTAAGCATTTGGTACTTCGATCTTTTATTAGGTTGGCGCCAGGTAAATAAGGGGATCAAGAATCCATTCCCGCCGGCATCTTAGTATATGCCACTCCTTCCGTTCCTAGGAAATTCGACCTGAGGCCAAAAATCAGTATATGAAAAATCACTAAATGACAATCGAAGTCCCACTTTTTTTATTTAAAAAGGCTTTTCGCCCTCAACTTTTTGCCTTGAGGCTGGCTTTGAGGAAGAAAAGCTGCTGTCAACTCCAAAACCTCTTGGTCGGATCTTGCCCCACGTGGTCCTCACTTCAGGTCCCACATTTCTCTTCCTTTGTTTGATTTCCCTAAAATCTCTTGCCCCTTCTAGGTCAGGTTCGTATTCAAACCTTCTTTCCAAATCAGTCCTTGTTCATTTCATTCGTGGTGCTCTTGGCACAATGGTCTAATCTGGAGGGGGGAAGTTGGATGTTTTTCTCTATTTATCGTCACTACGGGCCATATGGCCAGATCGACGTTGTCAGAATAATAGTGTTCAGGGCCTGCCCCTTTTCAAAGGTTGAATGCCCCACCCATGCATGTGATATCTGCTAAAGGCTTCGTCAGTGAGGTGATAATTTCAGCCCTATCTCTCCTTCGGGGTTCCACCTCCTAAAGCGGTCAGCGGGCATAATTGAAAAAATAAAGGCACTATATGTTCTCATTCTCGGTGCTCCGGTCAAGGTCAATTCTCTACTTGTCTTCACCTTCGGACATCAAGAAAGCCGAACTGACTCGCTGGCTTTGCTTTGGTTGGGCTTTAAGAGGGCTTGACCTTTGATGTATGGAAGTACGTGGTTGAAGTGAATTCCTCGGGAATGCAGCCGGAGGGCAATCTCTCTTTTGACCCGGTCTGGTATGTCTTTATTTTGCGCCATCTTTCTTTCCTATCGGTTACGGTTCTATCGTCTCGGTCATCTCATTTTATGGTTTCAGCATATGGCTATGGTTCAGATACAGACTAAATACTTTCGTGCTTTGATCTCAGCTGGTGGAAGTAGAGTGGCTATTGCTCCTGACCATTCAAAGTAGTCATTCTTGGAAAACAAGGCATGGCATGTTCTGCGCTCATGTCCTCATATTTGTGATGCTCGCTTTCTTTTATTGCTTGGCAGCTTTTCAAAATCTTTCGGATAGTAACCACGCCATTCATAGCCATCGGGGAAACAACCCTCTTCCCTTGGTCCGTCTTGCTTCTACTTGATGGAAACTAGGGTTCAAGTTCAGACTTTTAGAAATCAAGACATGGCGGGGGCAGGATTCGAACCTGCAATCTTCACATCATGAGCCTGACGAGTTAACCAACTACTCTACCCCACTTCTTCCCCTTCTCTTTCTTTTCTTTCACTATTCCCACCTAGGTCCCCGACTTTGGTTGCTTGGCCGGGATAGAACTAGTCAGCGCTTAGTAAGTAAGCGGTGGTCTAACGACCCCTTAACCTAGGTTGGAGCTATGAAGCTTACCTTATTTATTAGAAAGGTCTTTTCATTTCAGCTTGCTGACTAGGGTTGGCAGCTAAATTATTCACGACCCCATAACATAAGAGAAAGTTGTTGAGTTCATAAGCCCCCTTAGAGAGAGGGGCGACTTTGTAGTAATAGCGAATGAGCAAGTAGGGGGCGGCTACTAAAGAGGTAGCGAGACTGACCACAATTGCAGTTTACTTGCTTACTTGTTAGAGTCAGGAGGAATAGGTTTACTTTTATTTTTTTTGGTTATGGAAAGTTAAAGTAGTTTCGTTTAGTACGAGATCGCTTCACACCTCGCGGTGCTTACACCTCTCGCCTATCAAAGTTCTGTTCAAAAACCTCGTCCGAGAACTTGTATAGAGAAGGATTTCCCGCTTAGCAGCAGTTCTTCCATACCAACTTAGCAGCCCGGCGCTGCTATTGGCATAACAACCGGTACAAAATAGGTTGGCCCAACCCAGTCCTCTCGTACTAGGGCTGGCTCCTCGCAGTTCTCCCTTTAACACCAACGGTAGGCAGGAACCGAACTGTCTCACGACGTTCTAAACCCAACTCACGTACCACTTGAATCGGCGAACAACCGAACCCTTGGGACCTTCTTCAACCCCAGGATGTGATGAGCCGACATCGAGGTGCTGTTGCGGTGGAAATAGGATATCAAACTATTAATTAGTTTGAATCACAATTCTTGATTCACAACCGCTCTTTGATTTATCCAAAGGAAAAGGTCAAAAGAGGGAAAACCTATTTTTGCATCGTAAACACAATGCGGGGAGAGACCTAGGTAAGGGGTTGGTTAAGCTTAGGGAAGGTACTAGCACCCTAAACATCTGTAGTACTCTACAGGAACCTTTTGTTTATTGTATGCTTTTTTATTTTATTATTTGTTTGATGTATATATTGAGCTAAGGGATAGAGTGACCTAAAAGACCTAAGGGTTAGTCCTAAGTTTACTCGGCAAGACGTCGCATCTTGTGCCTACATATCCTGACGGGAATGGAATCAGAGTAATTGTAGTTCTCCTCGAAAGGGAGGTTAGAAACGTCTTGACTGTGGTCAAGGTTTCAAGGGGAGTAAATATATCTTAAGGACACGCTTACGTGGAGTCTTTGAAACTCCTATTTCTATGTTGAATTTGTTAATTGAAAATTTAGGGTTGAAATTAGGGATTCCACGGCGGGAAACCCTAAACAGAGTACGGCGACTCTTTGACCTAATGCTAGGGTAAAGAACATTTTCGTCCACGGCGGGACACCTAGGCTATTAGGATTTTTGAAACGGTCAAAAATTAGGGTTATTGACTTGGCGGTCAAACGGCTATACCTAATTCCTTCGGAGGGATTCTAACGGTAAAAACAGGCAAAATACGACAAATTACTATTCGGCAGAATTAAAGTGCGGAAAAATAAAGAAAGCGGTAAAAGAAAGCATCGCGACGATCACTCACGTAAATTACAAATCCCCAAAAAGAAAGATAAAATAAAACCGCGACCATGGCCTCGCATAAATTACATCCATGGAACAAAATACAAATATGATAATGAAATATTTAACTAATGATAAATAAAGTTAAACTCAATCAGCTGGAAAAAAAAATCGGAGAATGTTAATAGGATTAGACAGAAATAAAGCGGATAATGAGATAGTGAAGAGAAAGCTGCTAATTTGATATTGTTTTATTTCTTAAAAAAAAGATTTCGGTTTTAACTTTGAAAAAAATGATTTTTGTCTTAATTAAAAAGAAAGAATTTTTGTTTTAAATTTAAAAAAGGTTTAATTTTACTATATAAAAAAAAAAGAGTTTAATTGTCAAATGTTCAAAAAGTGTCTTAGTTTTAATTTGAAAAATGTTTTAGTTTTAATTTTAAAAAGATTCAATTTTAATTTTTTAAAAAAAGAAGTTTTAGTTTTAATAAAAAGAGAGGTTTAGTTTAATTTTAATCTTAGTTTTAAAAAAGATTTAGTTTTTTTTTTTAAAGAATTTAATTCTAATTTTAAAAAATTGTTCTAGCCTAAATATTAAAAAAAGGTTTTGTGTTAAAAAAAAAGAGTTGATTAGCAAAAGTTTAATTTAAAAAGATTAGTATTAATTTTCAAAAAATGTTAATTTTTTTTTAAAAGAAAAAAAGTGTTAATTAACTTACGCTAATTAAAAAATAGTCTAAAAGAAGTTTGTCTTTTACTAAAAAACTGTTTTTTTGAGTTTTTGTTTTATTCTAAAGAAGAGAACTGTGAAAGTTAATAAAAATATGTTTTTAATTAATAGCTATTCTCTTAATTATCTATGTAATTACTTACTAAACTCAGAATTTTAAAACGCTTCTCAATTTTAAAAGTTTTCTAATTATGAGTTAATGAAACATGATTAACTAAAGTTATAACCTATCTACAAAACTAAACCCACTTAATTTTTTTAACTATTAATAATAATTAAAGAAATTTAAAATAGAAAAAGAAAAGAAAATAGCAAAAATAAAAAAAGAATGAAAAAAAAGAGACACGGAAATAAAAAGGAGAGACAGTTGTCCGCTGATGGAACCGTGGGGTTTCCTTTTCCCCTTTCTTTATCTTGATGCATGTCTCAATCTTCTTCCTGAAACACAAATCACCAAACAAAAACCATGAGATTTCATAAACTCATACCTTTCGGCCGATTGGCGGTGATGAAATTTAATGGAGGTATTGATGCTCGTCCTCTGGCGATGATGAAGCTATCTTCCCTCTTCTGATAAATCGTGAGAACGGCCGCCGTTTTTCTCTTTTGTCTCCTTCCCCTTTTATCAAATGCAACTCATGTTTATATAGGTAACAAATTAGGGTTAACTCTAACCTAATGCCCATTTTGATGCCCAACTTAAATAATTTGTCAAAGCTAAAAAAAAATAAACTAAAACAAACTTAAAAGAATAAAATCTTTTCTAATATTTTTAATTTTATGATTTTTGGATGTTTTTATGAATAATATGGAAAAAAGTAAAAAAATAATATTTTTTAAAAAATAATTTAAATAAAATACGAAAATAATAATTAAATAATAAAAAAAAACTATTTTTGTTATTTTTTTTTAATGAAAATAGAAAAGTTAGAATAAAAATAAAAGAAACAAAACAAAAAGTGAAGAAGGTGGGATTCGAA